CCAGAGTACAGAGAACTACATCCGTGCCATGACGCAGCTTTTAGTAATCAATTCGGCCGAGGTGAGCATAATAACACTTTTAATAACTAAATCAACAATTGTAAATTGAAATTTGTTTTTACTGAACCACAAGGATATATATGTATTTCAATTGACAATATTATATTAAAAACAGATGAAACTATTCCAATACATAAATCAGCAATTGCTTTTAAAGCTTACATTTTTTCAAAACAAGTAATTTATTTTTACACCATCTACACAGTGAAGTAGGAAATGGTATGTGAGAAAGGGAAGTGTGTAGGTTTTGTTTTTTTTTAGCATAAAAAAATCTCTGATTAATTAGTGATGTCTTTTTGATTGGCTGAAGGCTGTAGCAACCAAGAAGAAAGAAGGTCGGGATGAAGCTGACCCTGCCTACTCCTTAGTTACAGGAACTTACCATCAAATGATGAACGAAAGACAGAAGAAAAGGTTGGCAGTTTTCTACTACCGTTAACAATTGTAATTGTCGTGATCTTGACCATTGTGATGGCCTATCCTCCAACATATTTTTCATGCTTTTGTCCATTCCTGTTTAATCTGCTCTTGAATTATATTACAGAATTATTTAGTTTGTATCTCCCAGAGAATGTTCTAATAGATACAATTGTATATGGTAAAAATCGGTATGAAATACTACATAAAAAATTATCTATGTAAACTCAGGTAAACTTAACCATCTAATGTTAAAAAGTAACTGCTAACAGTAACTTTAACTACTACATTTTTTTTAATTCTGTCTCTTATACACATCTTAATACCATGCTACAATATAATAATCTTGTATCATGACTTCATGTCACATTGCCACATCATGCTACTATATAACATCACATAATCTTTACATATTACATTGTAATACCATGCTACAATATAATAATCTTGTATCATGACTCCATGTCACATTGCCACATCATGCTACTATATAACATCACATAATCTTTACATATTACATTGTAATACCATGCTACAATATAATAATCTTGTATCATGACTTCATGTCACATTGCCACATCATGCTACTATATAACATCATATAATCTTTACATATTACATTGTAATACCATGCTACAATATAATAATCATGTATCATGACTCCATGTCACATTGCCACATCACGCTACTATATAACATCACATAATCTTTACATATTACATTGTAATACCATGCTACAATATAATAATCTTGTATCATGACTCCATGTCTCATTGCCACATCATGCTACTATATAATATCACATCATCTTTACATGTTATATTGTCATACCATGCTACAAAGATATAATAATCTTGTATCGGGATTCCATGTCACATTGCTACAATATATCATTGCCTCATCATCTTTTCATGTTACAGCCACAATATTCTATAATTTTGACTTTGCCATATTTGATGCTTCATTGTTGCTTAATACTTTGTTAAAATGTTGCCACGCATTTTCATCCTGCAATGCTACGATATAATGTTTGCTACGTACGATTTTATTGTTGCTACATTGTTTAATCTGGTTTAAATCTCTCAACTCAAACAAATGATGGTTTCTGAATGCTTGGCAGGTGCGTGAAATCTTGGTTGAGGTGGCTAATGGGATATTGCTCTTTGAACCCGAAAAGTGGAAGGAAGATAGATTGAAAGTCGAGTATCCTTTGTTTTGTGAAAATTTACTTTTTACACCCCCACAAAAATATGGTATAGCCCACTTTAGCACACCACTTGTTAACACCATCACCACATGTCCTGATTTCTATGTTAGTATCATCCCTAGTATCATACTCTTAATTGAGTGTAAGAGTAAAACCATACACGGTTGCAATGGTTATTGACTTAATTTTAGTTCTTTGAAGACGTGTTTTAGAGCAACAAGAAAGGACAGTTAACGAACACAAACTACACCTGTTAAAAGAAAGAATTTCCCATCTGCTTGTTGAAGAGATCATTTTAGAGGTAGGTCTTTTGAATTTTCCTTTTCATAATTGCGTAAACCCAGCTTGCATTGTTAACGGTAAAAGTAAAGTTTTTTAGCCTTGTGTAAACATTTCATGAAAACTGAAAATACCTTTAAGTACTAGTACAGAAATATGGATTTCTTTAAATATAAATCAGTTTTGATAGAATTAAAATTTTTGCTTTTATTGTATTCATCTTAACAGGTGTCTGCAAAGTTATGTCGAGAAATTGTTGAGGAGCACCAGAGTACAGAGAACTACATCCGTGCCATGACGCAGCTTTTAGTAATCAATTCGGCCGAGGTGAGCATAATAACATTTTTAATAACTAAATCAACAATTGTAAATTGAAATTTGTTTTTACTGAACCACAAGGATATATATGTATTTCAATTGACAATATTATATTAAAAACCGATGAAACTATTCCAATACATAAATCAACAATTGTTTTTAAAGCTTACATTTTTTCAAAACAAGTAATTTATTTTTACACCATCTACACAGTGAAGTAGGAGATGGTATGTGAGAAAGGGAAGTGTGTAGGTTTTGTTTTTTTTTAGCATAAAAAAATCTCTGATTAATTAGTGATGTCTTTTTGATTGGCTGAAGGCTGTAGCAACCAAGAAGAAAGAAGGTCGGGATGAAGCTGACCCTGCCTACTCCTTAGTTACAGGAACTTACCATCAAATGATGAACGAAAGACAGAAGAAAAGGTTGGCAGTTTTCTACTACCGTTAACAATTGTAATTGTCGTGATCTTGACCATTGTGATGGCCTATCCTCCAACATATTTTTCATGCTTTTGTCCATTCCTGTTTAATCTGCTCTTGAATTATATTACAGAATTATTTAGTTTGTATCTCCCAGAGAATGTTCTAATAGATACAATTGTATATGGTAAAAATCGGTATGAAATACTACATAAAAAATTATCTATGTAAACTCAGGTAAACTTAACCATCTAATGTTAAAAAGTAACTGCTAACAGTAACTTTAACTACTACATTTTTTTTAATTCTCTCTCCTCCTTCCATTTATTTTGCACAACTGTTCAGTATGTTATTTTTCAGAGAAAAAATCTGGCTGCATACTCAAAAGCTCCATTTCGTTGGTGAAGAAGAGGATAACTCAGATATGTAAGTTGCTTGCATGCAATAATAATAATAACAATGAGGACAATAGGCATAAAATTTGGTTACATCTTCCTTACATAGGTGTTCGTGGTGACACTCTGGTACGAGCTGCATTAGAAAGTTAAATAGATAGTTAATAGATAGAAACGTTGAATCTCAAAATGTCTCTTTCTCTCTTTTCAGAATTACTGTCTTTTTGTTTTAATAATAATATTATTAGTTAATTTTGTCTCCATTTCCTTAGGTTCATAAGAGACTTTAGTGTCACATATCTGTAAAACAAATAGGTCAACATGGGACAACATGAATGGAACAAAGAATGTATGGAAATGGAAATAATTTTCATGAAGAGATATACAGTAAAATCTTCCAATTACAAACTCTCGATATTCAATTACCAACTCAATTGGCGGTGATGACATAATTATAAACGATCTTTATAACTACAAAAACGCTTAAAATTCTTAAAAATAATAAAAAATGTTACATCAGCTAAGAAAGGAAATGTTTAAATCAATAAATTGACATAAAACTTCATTTAAGGCAAGCAATATCAATCGTTGTCAGCTGAGATATATTCCATTTTGAGCTGTGCATCATTGTTCAGACAGCTAGTGTACAGGAATAATAGAGAATCTCACTATTTGTTCACTGGAGGCGCTATTTGAATGGATTCACAATCATTTTTAAATGTAAACTAACACTCGTTTTTCCTATTAATGGTCATGTTTTCATTCGGAAATCACTTCAAATGAATACAGATAACTTTTGCTTCTGTACAGTAATATTTTGTTGCAGAAAACAGTAAAATCCAAATAATATATTAATCCCATGGCAAGGCTTGGGCCTACCTAGCCATGTAGGTATGTAACATAGGTCTACCCTCACCACTGAGATGCTATGAAAATTGAAACTCTCTGTATTACGAACTTTTTCGTTTACGAACTCTATTCGGACATAGGGGTACGTAATTGGGAGATGTTACTGATACATTTAAAACAATTGATATTTTGCGACTAAGTGACAAAATGTCAATTGTTGCTTAATGTCACATACCTACTATTAAATGACAAGTATCTATTTTGATTATTATTTGATCCAAAAACAATTTTAATTAACATGTTTGAATAATGAACTTGAGATTTTTATAAAGCAGAACACCCATTTGTTGAATGTTTTTACAAATCATTTTCAGTTCAAACTCTGGTTATGACAATGATGAAGACATCCAGGTACTGCATTTCCAAGATACTGATGTTCTGAATGAAAGAAGGAGCGACCTAATACCTGCAGCTTTGAAGATTTACTTTATAAAAGAACGTGATTATTGGAAGGTAGTCTCAAGTGTTCTGTTTAGAATTCAACCTAATTGGGAACACAATAATAATCAGTGAGAAAAAACCTGAATAACTAAAAATGTTTTTTTGTTCTCCATATGTGAATAACAAAAAATTCTTTATTTTAGAATATGTCAGTGAAGATGAGCGAGTTGAAAGTTATCCGTCGAACTAAAGGCGTAGAGCTGACATCGCTGTCGCCTGACCACCGACTTCTAGCAATTGGGTACTCTCACGGTAAGGGTCACTTTTGAACAAATTTTGCTGCACAGAAATTACAAGATGAAACATAAAAGAGCAAATGTTATGGACTGTCAATTGCAGTCCCAAAGGATTAGTAATAATATATGTGATCCCGTATTAATTTTAAAAGTTACAGTATAATAAAACACATTATTTTAAAGCCAGTCACTCACTGTGCCCGGTGGTAGTTGGCTGAGTCAATTCTATGGAAAATGCAATGTCACAACACTTGCGCAACAAATCATTTTTAATGATGATCCGTTCAGATTGCCACCAACAATCAACGGACGGCGCTCACAAGGAGCGGAGTATGATTCGTCAGCCGACGTTCATACAACGCAGTGTGTGCACGGCATAAGGTAATCAAATGAAAATACTAGACAACCAGCTTACTTTGTCACTTTCTGCATGATTTATATTTTTAATTTTTTTTCTTTAAATTCTGAAGGAGATATTTTAGTATATGATTTATGGGCGAGCCCGGTACAACTGACAAGGCTGATATCAAACGAGAGTATTTATAACGATCCCATAATAAGTTTCAAATGGAGTTGGGATGGCATGAGATTGATTTCAGTTAATGAATCCGTAAGTTTATAAACAGTTTTCCGTACATTACAAATAGTGTTTAATAAGTCAGCATTATGATGTATTTTTCCTGTAAAAAAACATGATAACAATTACTGTAGAACCCCCCCCCCCCCCTCCTTTGGGGTACCCCTAATTAGGCAACACTTTTTGGCCTCAAAATAATTGAAAGTGTATTATTTACATCCAACCTCTATATCCAGTCTCTCTTTAATAGAGGTTCTACTGTTTTTAACCAATAAGGAATAAGATACTTATAAAGTAAAATATATAATATAGTCAATTTTCATTTCAAAAATTTCATTAGGCCCTATAAAAAATATTATTAGCTTATCACCCTATCTGGGTAGGAAAAGTGACGACGGAGGGAGGGATTCTTTTTTTTTAATTTTTTATTTAGCTAAAGCCAAATATTACCCTTGGGTTGTTTGCTGGTGCATTGTTATTCAAAGGAAAACATGATTTAGATAATGCAAACAATATCTACTAACTATTTGATAAAATAAATGAAAAAAAAAAAATAAAAAAAAATAAAAAAAATTTATTTCCCAAAAAATATATATTTTTTTCAGTAACATAGAAGACATACGTGTGGGGGTGATAAACTAATAATTTTTTTAATGGGCCTTATACAGAATCCTGCAATTTCTGTTGTCTTGTTAAAGTAAAATAATAAGTATAGGAAAAATCAGTATAAAAAAAAAGCAAATAGTTGACCAGTCAAAGAACAGCCCATAATTGACCCATTTAAAAGAAAAAAGCAAAACTAAAATTATATAGTATCTGACCAATCACAAAGACACTAGATATAAATTGACCATTAGGAAATAAGATAGTACAAATTCTAGTAAAGAACAGGATTCAGCAATATTATTTGTATTTCTTTTTGTGCTAAAGGGATCACTTCACATGTGGTCAATGGTATCTGGAGGCTTTACTAAGAAAGATACCAAAGATTTTGAAGTTGTAGCTGGACGTGGCAATACACATCCTCAACAACTGACCCTTTATGCTGCACTCGCCCCTAAAGATTACAAGTTCAAACAAGGTACAGAAGATTTACGGCATGGTAACTTTTATTGATTGCAAAAAAAACAAGTTAATGTTCATTATTATAATCATAATAGAAGTAATTTTGTCCTACCTGATGTGTTATCGTACCGAATACTCAGTTCATTCCCAAACACTTGCAAAAAAAATTTCAAGTGATTAGGGTTTGAATCAAATTCACGACCTCCAGAACTAGCCTGGCACCAACTACTAGACTACCAAGCTTACGCTTAGTGACAAGTGTTGAATTCCATCCCAAAGTAGCAGCGTGTACTTGACATAGCTTACAGTAACAAATAGCTTACGTTTACTTTCTCATAATGCTTTGTTTTGCCTTTTTTATTTGATTGATTGATTAATTGATTGATTGATTGATTAAGTCATTGATCAGTTAGCTTATTGATTTGATTGATTGCTTGATAGATATTTGACAGACTGACTAATTGATTGATTGATATTTTTTATTGATTGACTACTTTATTAATTTTTTTGGTAGATTTAAATAGTTGGTTTTTTAATTGATTGATTGTTTAATTTTATTGATTTCCAGGTCCACTGGCTGAGAGTGGTACTGAGACAGCCACCCTTGGACCAAGTCTTTCTTGTTTTTATCCAAGTCAAACTTTACTGGGAACTCAAGTAAGTATGAGTCTTTCAAAATCAATTGTTAGCCTGTTATAAACTCAGCAGCATATCTGAAGGGGGTTTGGGTGGGGTTACAGAAGTGTTCCCCCTACCACAAATACCACCACCTTTTACAGGAAAATTTCCTGAACAAAAAAATAACACTCAAGAAGTTAATAATCACATATATCGGCATAATTCACCAGCTAGTTCCTCTCTAACTTAATGCTTGCCCGCAACCCTTCATAAGCCCTTTCCTCCTTTGTCAATACCATTGGAATTGTCCTCCAGAATTTTTGTCTATGTGTTTTTTAATGTATCATTGAAATTGTTTTTTAGAATGAGTTTGTTGTTGGATTTGATAATGGGGACCTTCTGAAATGCAACATTGAACCTTTGATTGCAGGATCTGGCTCAGATGAATTAACCCCAGAGGTCAAAACCTTTCCCAAGGTAAATTGTACTATTATTTGTTTTTTTATAGATCATTCCAAAGGTTATGTGCTTCAGCATAGAATCTTTTGATTCATGAGTGTAAAAATACACTTCAAAAATATCTAGTATGTTCCTATTACTATTTATTTAAATTTGTTTCCAGGTTAACCTGCCAAATCAGCCCAATTACATTGGACAGGATATTCCGGCTGACCTATTCCGTTGTCATGAGCACCCATTGGTCCTTGTAGGATGCATTGGTAACCGTGGTAATGTTTTATCAGTAGATGCCAATGGCTACATAAATGTCTGGGAGTACAACAAGTAAGGCTGTTAATCATCATATTTTTTTTCCTGTAAATGGTGATAAAATAGTTTTATCGTCTATAATTCTCTTCTTGTTTACTTGCCTGTTTGGGGCTTTTTAATATGGTAATAACGTAATAATAACTTCGATATTTATATTTATGTGGTATACTTTTATGAGTTGTTTTTCTTTTGGGAATTTTTGAGTAGTTTAGATTTAATTAAGAATCTTTTTAAACTTTAATTTTGTAAATTGTGGATGCACCTTTGTGTGGACAAGTGCCGCTGTACTAAAAGCGTATGCTCCAATATATTTGATTTGATTTGAATATAGAATAAGAATATTAGAGTGCTAACTGCAGTGTATTTGATGTTCGAAATACGCAGACCTCTTTGTGTATACTATCCAAGATGGCTGCTGTAGATTCAGCCAATCACAGGTCGCCTAAGCATCATCGTTATCAATGGCACCCTTAATTTACACAGGAATGTCAAGTACAGCTAAATTACCTGTATGTTGAAACTCGAGTGTTGTGGTGTATGGGTGTAACATACATGATTTCAATTTTTCACTCCTCAGTACTTTATTTTTAAATCAGGTAATAATAGAGGGCCTATTTACAGTTATAATATCTGAAGGTGGCACTCTAGTTGTTTAATATCCATATGGGTAATAATAATTTTCATTTATTTTTATAGTGTATATTACAAGTTTGTATACGATCTCTAGACGAAAGTTGTATGTCAAAAAAATGGTTAAAGGTAGCTAAAGTGGCTTATTTTGTTTACAGGAAACATGTGAGTCACTTTGGGTGGTTTGAGCCTTTAGCACGTTACCGTCTTGTGATGGTTGAGAGGACATTTGTCCGTGTTGATGGTCAAACACAACAGGTGAGTGCTACCACACTAACAGGTAGATGCTACCAAACTTACCACCTGGATTTTTCCCCTTCCTCTTGTCTTCCATTCTTTTGATCTTATAAGCACTTCTGAGCTGACATTTCCAATTTTAACGTTTTCAAACAATCACTTAAGAATAAGATATCCTTTTATTTACTTAACTCCTCTAATTTTACAAATTCTTGGTTTATGTTATGTCTTTGTTCTGTTAAACTGTATTTTTTGTTTCTATGAAATTGTCTTCCATTCTTTTGATCTTATAAGCACTTCTGAGCTGACATTTCCAATTTTAACGTTTTCAAACGGTCACTTAAGAATAAGATATCCTTTTATTTACTTAACTCCTCTAATTTTACAAATCCTTGGTTTATGTTATGTCTTTGTTCTGTTAAACTGTATTTTTTGTTTCTATGAAATTTTCTTGTGGTGTTATCCATCAACATTTCTTGAATTTGATAAACTGCTTGAGTTTGCAACTGTAAGAAAAGTGTGTTATAAGTACACAATAGTAGTCAAATTTGGCTACAGCTAACATAGCATTGATCTAACCATTGCCTTTTCAAATCTCTGACTTGGAATAGACACATTCCGCGAGGTTTATTTGCAGCCTGTCATGTGACATATAGTGGGTATGATAATGGAGAACTTGCAGTGCGATCAGTGTGAAGGTATAGGAAAACTTAATGTTATGGTTGAGAAAACAATCGCCCACCTTTACCTTGAGAAAGGAAAGGCACTATGATTGTACAAAATAGTGGTGATTCACTTATTCAAGCGTTATCTGCGCTTTGTATCCATTGGAAATTATGTGATCTTTCGTAAACTTTAGCTAACCTAGAAATCATTCGCGGACCATTATAGCAAAATTCTCAATTTCAATTTCCAATCAATTTGGTTTACTGACATTCCAACCAACATAGGACACAGCACATCAATAAAGCACATCAAATATGTGCTTTACATCAGAAATACTCCGAAGAAGTCACATGTTTTATTATAACTGAGCGTCACTCGCGCTGCCTGTTTACAATTGATACCGACTATATGTCACGTGATCACACCAACACACCAAGCGGAATGTGTTTATTGAATAAAATCAACAGTATCAATAGGATGATGTCACTAAGACTAGCATTTGAGCAAGTGTCACCGTAACAGTTGGTGTCACATGAATTGTGTATTTAACAAGTTAGATATTTTTTGTCATCATGATGTTGACCACTTCCAGATTTGATAATGCATTGTTCAGGGTAAATGTATCCAAACAGGGTAATTTTTATTTATTTTATTGTACCAGTGATTAATTTGGATCACTTTCTAGTTGATATGCTTTGTCCAGGATAAATATTTCACCTACAAAAAAAACAACATAGTTTCAAGTTGGTTATTTTCTCATGATGTCATTGATTTTGATCACTTATAGTTCGATATTAATGCCTTGTTCAGGATAAATACTTCACATAAAATCAGGGAAGTTACAAACAATCTATTTTCTCATAATGATGAACTATTTTAATCACTTCTAGTTGGTAATGCCTTGTTCAGGATGATTACTTCACACATAAAAACAGGGAATTTACAAACAATATATTTTCTGATAATGATGAATTATTTTAATCATTTCTAATTGGTAATGCCAAGGATGAATACTTCACATAAAAACAGGGAAGTTACAAATTGTCTATTTTCTCATAGTGATGAATTATTTTAATACTAGTTGGTAATGCCTTGTTCAGGATAAATACTTCACATAAAAAAAAGCATAGTTATGTTTTTTATTTTGTCATGATGGCGATTGATTTTAATCACTTCTAGTTGGTAATGCATATTCAGGATAAATATTTCATACAAATAGGGAGTTAGGTAATATAAGAGGTCAAGTTCATAATATTTGACCTTGAAAATCTTGCTTATCACTTTCAATCTATTGATAATGGTGTAACAGGATTTTAGGTGTCATAAGTTGGGAATAACCATTTTCCCAACTGATTCCAAGTTTGACAAATTTGTAGGCACAAGATTTTGTTGGAATGCCCCCTACCGGGAGGGAGGGTCTAAGGACACGTTCCGCCGCAAATTTATTGCGAAGGCATGCATTTTTTCTTGGGAATATATATGTTTAGCCTGTTAGTGAGCCTATAATAGTGAGATTCCATGCACAGTGGCATCATGGAGAATCTATTTTATTTTCTCCATGGTGGCATCTTGTATGTTCTTTATCTATCCAATTGTGCTCGGTAAAGCAATGCTTAGTGCAGTAGTTCAAAAAAGAAGATTGAATTGGATTGGATTTATTCGGTGAAAACACCAAGGATAGCCCACGAAAGTCTAGAAGAAGACTTATTTCCAGTGGGGTCCTTCTGGTGGTGATTGGGTAGTACACCGGAAGACAATCCCCTACTCTTTTCCGAAGAGTGTACTGCATTCTTTAACGTGCACATGGGCCATAAACATACACGGGACCAACGGCTTAAAGGTCTCATCCGAAAGACAGTGCGCTATTGTAACTATTTCAGCCCTCCAGCTGAAACACAAGGAGGCAGTGATGGGAATTGAACCGGGGACCTAGGTATCTCCACGGTTCAGCACACACACAGTGGCTACCACCAGATTAGCCGACTGAGCTAAGCTCCTCTCTAGATAGGAATGAAAAGTGTTTAGATATAAACAAAGAGGGAAATCTGGTGCATAGCTAATAGCTGGTGCATAGCGGGGCCTACACAATTTTTTTGCTTGGCAGTATTACATTTATGCATGAGGTTTCGGTTCTTGAGCCTGAGAGCTTATGAGTGCTCGGCTATGGGGGCCCTCAATTGAGAGAGTACAAATGTTGCTTCCAAAAATCACAATTTTTTTCCAAATTATAGGTATTGTTTGACGAAGAGAAGTACAAGAGTAAGAAGAAGTCCACTCAAAAAATACTAACAAACAGGTGATATTTATCTACTTATGAGTACTTATTTTGCTAAGCAAATTTTTTAATGGGGGAAGGGTGGGGAAATTCTAATACTGCAGTTGTATAGTATTTTATTCCTCCATGGTTGTAGTAAAAGATGATACAGTTGTGAGATGTGTATAAGAGACAGTTTTTGGTTAGTGTCCCCTTAATAGGGGTACCCCTATTCAGGGACACCCCTATTAAGGGGACACTTTTTTGGTCCTGAAGGTCCTTAATAGGGGTTCTACTGTTAGTGACCTGATTTTTTTTAGGTGTGACAAGGAATTCAACTTGTTTGCTGTCATTGCGACAAGGTCATTTGATCTCACTCCTGGTTGATATCTTCAGGCAAAACTTACTTCATAAGGACAAAATTCCATCCATGCATCTTACAAATATCGCCCAAAGGCCTTGGCCTATGTTTCAATATGCAACCAATGTATACACAGTGTTTACGATTCTGTGGGCCTATTTTTCTGTAGATTTTCTGTTCAAAATGAAGAAAAATTGTGTAATATACTTATGTTAGAGGTGAGAATGATGGGGGAATATGTGTTACTACTAAAAAAGTTACTTGTGCTACTAAATTTCCTTTTGGGGTGGGCTGGGAGAGGTGGTGCCATATTATTTTGGCAGTGTTACTAAACAAAAAAGTTAATTTAAAGCCCTGAGATGCCATGCCAGGTACGAGATCCTTTTAGGATATTTTAGTACATGAACCGAAAAAAAATCAAAAAAATTTTGATCATGCACCCGCCACCAGTTAAGTAAGTGCTCAGGTGACAGGAAGCAGAGTGGTGCATATGACAATACAGAACGTATACCCATAGTTGATATTCAACATGTTTATTGTATCTTACAAGGGTTACTCAGCTGACAGGAAGCAGCAATATTGTAGTCGTGCATATGACAATATAGAACATATACAAGATCAACTTGTATTTAGCCTTCCAGCTAAAACTGAAGGAGAGCATTGAAAGGAATTGATTGTAACAATGAAGTTTATATTAAATACTAAAATAGATAAACAATGGTTTTAATTATAAAATCATATTATTTGTTTTTATAAATTTATGATTATTGTTAAAGTGCTCTGAAATTGATTTGTTTTGTGTTTTACAGAATGGCTATGCAGCCATGTTAGACTGCAAGTTGTCAGAAGACGGCAGCTTGCTTGTCTTTATGTTGCTATTTCCAGACTGTCGTCCTAAAGGTTGGTATTTGAAGTGAAGATACACCAGCTACACAACATTTGGTGAAGCTGTTGCTTAGTTGTTAAAATGTTTGCCTTAATCCAGTAAAAGCCTTCTTTCTGGCATCAAAATAGCAAAACTTTGTAAAACTGGGCACAGTGAAGTTTTTTGTGTCAAACTCCACACTTGCTTTTAGATATGAATAATAATAATAATAATAATAATAATAATAATAATAATAATGATAATAATTACTATAAATTCTTCCTAACCACCATCCACCTATATAATATCCCATTGTACCTACATATATGTAATATATTATATATTATTCCCCACCCCTATAATACTCCCTGATAATATCCTAGACAATACCCCACCTACTATACCTAACCCTAATCAAATTAGTGCAATTCTATGCAATAACCTACCCCTATATTTTACCTGGGAGAAATTATGCTTAGAGTTAAGTGTGGAGATTTATTATCATTTGTCATAAACCATTTATTTATTTTCAGATGCCCACATTAGCTTTGTATTCATTGATGTTAATGAGATGAAAGTGAGGCCATACAGAATAAATGTGCACTACAGCCTATCGCAACTAGAGTTCACAAGGTGTTTAGACAAAGGCACCTGTAGTTTCCAGGTTAGTAGTCTGATGCAATCCCAACCTTTTCATGTTCTCACATTGTAGAAGATATTGTACAATTTTAATGGTCATCCGGTACAATTGACTTTAACTCAGGGTTGTACAAATAAATCCTATAATGTACTGGGCTGAAAATTAAGAGTTAGAGTAGAACCCCTCCTTTGGGACACCACTGTTCTGAGGACACCCCTATTAAGGGGAAACTTCTGTAAAACGAGGGAAAATATATCTTTTAACACTACAGCCAACCCGGATGGGGACACTTCTGAGTGGCCAAATGGTCAAATCAATACATATTTAACCCTTATTAAGGGACACTTTTTTTTTTCTTGCAAAACAACTACAGAAGTCTTAAAATATGAAAATTTCATTCAAATTTATATTTTGACACTAATCATAGAACAATAACCTTTACATAAAACAAGAATCTCTCATTCTTTAGAGTAGATATTAGTATAGGCCTAGTGCATGTGTTCCTTTGATATCTTGTCAATTTTGATCATTAACCATCAGGAATTCTTTGTTTTTGTATATAGGATATAATAATAATAATAATAATAATAATAATAATAATAATAATAATAATAAAAATAATAATAATAATTACAATAATAACAATAATAATGATAATAATAATTACAATAATAATAATAATAATAAATAAAATAAAATGAGTCTTGGATTCTAAAACTTCACCTACTTCGCACACCACCACAGTACGAAAATACACCGAAAGGTGGTCTGTACTAGAATGGAAGAAGAAGAAGATAGGATCATTCTATGTCTATCTGTACAGCCTGCACCCTGGTTTTTAAGTTGTTACTGCTATTCTATCTTGTGCATCAAGTAGAAAGTTCAGTATTTAATAAACAATATTGGTCATTAATAATGCACTTGAATCATGAAACAATATCACAAACATATACAACTTTCCTCTTAATTGCACTTGTGTTGATTTCATTAATGAATTATTTTTGCATTACAAATTATTTTATACATTATTTATTATTCAACTTAACTCCTTCTTAGGTCAATCAAAATTAAATTATGAAGAATCTATGTCATTGTATGAAAACATGCCAAAAACCCTATTAAAGGAACAATTTCACATTTTTGGTTAGTGTCCCCTGAATAGGGGTACCCCTATTCAGGGGACACCCCTATTAAGGGGACACTTTTTTGGTCCTGAATGTCCTTAATAGGGGTTCTACTGTTAGCGACCTGATTTTTTTTTTAGGTGTGACATGGAATTCAACTTGATTGCTGTCATTCAAACACATGGTTGATATCTTTAGCCAAAACTTACTTCATAAGGACAAAATTCCATCCATGCATCTTACAAATATCGCCCAAAGGCCTGGGCCTATGTTTCAATATGCAACCAATGTATACCCAGTGTTTACGATTCTGTGGGCCTATTTTTCTGTAGATTTTCTGTTCAAAATGAAGAAAAATTCTGTAATATACTTATGTTAGAGGTGAGAATGATGGGGGAATATGTGTTACTACTAAAAAAGTTACTTGTGCTACTAAATTTCCTTTTGGGGTGGGCTGGGAGAGGTGGTGCCATATTATTTTGGCAGTGTTACTAAACAAAAAAGTTAATTTAAAGCCCTGAGATGCCATGCCAGGTACGAGATCCTTTTAGGATATTTTAGTACATGAACCGAAAACAAATCAAAAAATTTTGATCATGCACCCGCCACCAGATAAGTAAGTGCTCAGGTGACAGGAAGCAGAGTGGTGCATATGACAATACTGAACGTATACCCATAGTTGATATTCAACATGTTTATTGTATCTTACAAGGGTTACTCAGCTGACAGGAAGCAGCAATATTGTAGTCGTGCATATGACAATACAGAACATATACCCATAGTTGATATTCAACATGTTTATTGTATCTTACAAGGGTTACATTTTGAAGCAGGTTGAATATAATACTAAGATATGCCCTGAATCCAACCAATTGGAGACTCACACTGTTTACATTTTGAATAAACATTATAAGGTTTAATGGTATCTGGTACTATCTTTTTAACAAGTTCCTTGGCTTATGATTTTGTTATATACTTTTTATTGATGTTTACCACAATTTATTTTTTAAAATTCTTTTATCATTTCCAGGATGTTCATATTTTTGCATTTTATTTTTATAAATGGACCTTTACATAGTATAAATCAAACAAAACAAATGACTAATCAGGACAAGGCGAGGACTACGCTCTTGTACCACAAACACGCATGTTTACATACGTTTACGCTGTTCTTTTGCAGAACCAAGAGGTGGGACTTCGAGAAAGGTCCATTTCATTTTAATTTGCCATCTTTATAATTTTTAGCTTAATATAGGGATGTTTCACAACTTTACGAAAATGAATAACGAATACGTCATTGTCATTATCGTCATTCGTGCCTGAAACCTTCTTGATAATATACCATACAAGCTGAATATGATGCTTGATTTATGCAGAAGGAAAAAATCACCTACGTTTTAACAAAAATACTGCCATTGGGAAAGGGTTGTCTAAAAATTTGATGACATAACAATATTCGTTATCGTTTTCGTAAGCTTGTGATAACTCCCTAATGTTTATCTTCACATATTATTGTCTTGTATGTATGTATGTACATTTTTATTATTCATTTATTTATTAATTTTTCAGGAATTTTCTGCTTTTTGCATTTTATCTTCTAAATTTAATTAAAGTGTCAACATGATTGGTTAAGCCTAACTTTTATCCTCGCCAGTTATTGTCTTGTATGTACTAGGGTCTCAATTGATCAGTTTTGGCTGGATCACCCTCACAAAATATTATTGGAAAAAAAATGTATTAAAGGCTAAGCCCTGAATTGCAATACTTTACAAGTGTACCTGTTAACCACTGCTTGACAGTGGTCTCAAATTGCAGGTGAACGGTGCGATAGTGTTGGTTCCTCTTCGTTAGTCTGTTTCAGTTATTCTTTTAGATTGGTTGACCTTGTAGAATAGATTTTGCTTCTTTTTTTTTTCTGTACAGTGCATAGAGTCCACGTATTATGCACTATATAAATCCCCAACCATTACCATTACATTTTGAATAAGCAGGTTGAATATAAACGAATCTACGCCCTGAATTGCAACCAATTGGAGACTCCCAATGTTTTTATTTTGAATAAACATTATAAGGTTTAATGGTATCTGGCACGATCTGTTCAACACTTTCCTTGTTTTTTTCCATTTGGTATTTCCATTACAACAACCTCCTGCTTCTCCATTTGATACTTCCATCATTTCAACAACCTCCCCTGCTTTTCCTTCAGATACATCCTATCATTTCAACAACTTCCTGCTTCCTGCATCTGCATACATGCTAACTTTGAAGAATAATAAATCAGGATTTTATGATTTGATAACTTTGTGATAACTTTGTGCAAGGTACCCACTTAGGACAATAGCACACCATTTTAGCAATTTTATGTGGAAAATAATTGGTTTGGATGCAAATCTCATTTTTTTTTAACATAAATTCTACAAAATTGAGATTTTTACGCACATCACCTCAGTCTCCTTGAAAGTTATGAACAAATTTCTACTGATATATTTAAAGTCCAATTTATAGTACTTTGAATTCATCATATTCACAACTGCTGTAATACTTGTACCCGTAGCCTTTTACTAGTCTTGGGTGTCCAGAATTTTTGTCATACAACTTAAGAATTGTGATGGCAAGTCTTATTATTTCTGGTATTTGCAAACAGTGTAAACACAGCTAGGCCTGGCCGGCTGTAATTACAGTACAGTTACCGAGTTTAGAAAGGTAGTACATTGGAGAATTTAAAAGGCCTAATGATAGATCTGGTTAAATGGAAAATTAAGAGAATCACTTTCAATCTATACAGAAAACAAGTGCATTTGTACATGGGAGTCAATACCCAAAATTAGGAGTCTTCTGGCCAAATCGGGAGAGTAGTTACATATGTATCTAGTATAGCACTTTTATCATTTCTGGAATTTCCCATACTCTACTTTTCATCTTGTGCTTTCATTATTTCTTCCTCTGATCTTTCAGATATCCAGAACCTTCAATATTACAGGAGCTGCCTACCTCTTAGTCAAGGTTTTGGATTTCCAACATGTGTACTCTATTGAGTCTGGTGGCCTGGTGATGCAGACTAGTGAACTCCCAACTAGCGGACTTACTATTAACCCTAAGCACCTGACGCTGAATGACCAATCAATGATAAACTTAGCATGTACGCAGGGCAGGATGATAATCATCAACTATGGCAATGTATGTGTTATACATTGATCGAGTTCCTAGTCCACATATCAAGCGCCCTGAGCATCTTACATTAGATGAATATGTGCGCTATATAAAACTACATTATTATTATTATTTATTAATTTTGCTGTTGTCACGTCTGTGACTGTGTGTTTGTAGAGCTCAGTTTTAAAACCCAGTTGTGTAGGTTTAGTCTAGAGTAAAACCAGAAATGTTATGACTATAAAACCATTGACACATCATTTAGGTTTGGTGCAATTTATAATTGTTTTAGTAAGAAAATTATTTATTTTAAAATACACCTGCCAATTTTATAATAATAATAATAATAATAATAATAATAATAATAATAGTAGTAGTAGTTAATATTTATTGATAATAAAATTGTATTTATTATATCGCGTTGTACTTGTATCTTCTATGTGCTTTATATTTTGCATAAAATTAGCAAGTTGTCAGATTTTTAAAGATACATACTTATTAGAAAATATTTATATTTTTTGAGTACTTATTGGATAAACCAACTACTGCCATTGTTTTTTTAACTACACAACCCTAACAAATAGCTAGAATCATCCATCCAAGAAGACAGTATTATCATACATGTTAGTTGCCATGTTGTCATCCTCATTCCTTTTTTATATTTATTATAGTTTCAAATTTATATTCAGTGTGTTGTGTATTTAGTGCACCTCTTTACATTTTATTTGTTTTTTTTTCTATAGAAACAGCCACTCGTCAAATTGGTTGACATTTCAGATAACAACACAGAAGAAAACAAAAAGAGTGTTTATGCATCCCACAAAGCATGGTAACTTCAAGCTTAACTGTTAAATCAATCAACCTGTCAAATTAATCAGTCTATCAATAAGCCAATCAAACAGTCAGTTAATCTACCTTTCAATCATTCATTTTTTAGTCAGTCAGTCAATTTAAAAATCATCAGACTGTAAAATTAATAATAATCATCATCATATGCGTTTTAAGTCCATTTTGATCATGGTTTGGACTTTTCTTCATTTGAGTTCCTCTGTCCTGAGCCAATTTCCAACTTAGACCTTTTGCACTAAGGTCACTGTGGATGACTTCCTCCTATGTTTTCTTGGGTCTGCCTATGCTTATTCTACTTTTGACCTCCATACTCGTACATCTGTTCACCTTATTAGCTTCCTCCATACAGTACTTTCAATGTGACCGAAATAACGTAATCTACGGTAGTTGACTGTACACAGTACCTGATAGCATGTATGGCAAGTCTGTCCCTAAGTTCTTGTGCAGTCTTTTAGACGGACACGGCAAATCCATCTTACATCTTCATCAATTGAACAGTGTATGAGTCATAAGACAAAATGCATGATATTAATAGATTTTGGTCCCCATTCTGAATGGAGGACAATCTAGGAGCTCTTAATAATTCTTTCTTTTACAATCTTTATTTTGAGTTGAGTGATATACATTACATTATCATATTTTTATTATCAGATTTATTTGCATTAACAAGTTATTAAGTTGTTGCTTCATTTCTATATCTCTATTTCAGGAAGAAGAATACAGCGCCCTCTAACACATGGCTGTGGTCAAAGCGTGACCTGCTTGATGGTCAAGATAATCGCCATGTTGCAATATACTTCAGACGTGTGGTCCTACAACTAGCCGACATCGCTATACAGATGAGTGATGGGGTATTTGAAGATGACGTGAGAAAAGAGTATGAAAAACAGGATCGTTTAAATCCATTTGCTCTTAAAAATGAGGTTTGATACATTTTTTTCATTGTAACTTTCAATTTTTATTTGGTTTTAGTTTTAGTTTCCAGTCACATTATTCTGGATTTGATTCCTATTGCTTCCAAGTATATTTTCTTTTGGAACCAGTGATGGATATTGTGGGTATGATATCAACCAAAGAGTCTGGCCTTCACTTAAAGAAAACCATGAGAGCTGCAAACCAATTACCTCAAAAGTATCAATAAAGTGGGGTGTTGGGTTCAAGACTGTAATGTTTTAAATTTTATGCAAATATTATAATAATTATTATAATGGTTCTTGATTTTAACAGCATGTACAACTATAATGTGTTTTTTTTTTTTTTAATTACATATATAATATGTCAGGGGAGGGCCAAAGTGAATTTTTGATTTACCACAGAGGGCCGCACCCAAACTTTGATGTTAATAGTTTGCTTCCAAAACCATCATGCACTGTTTTTATACCACTTTGTTCTCAGTTTTAATATTACTTTTTACAAATGATTGGCGTCGGGCTGTGAAAAACAAGGTGTTTTCTAGCCAAAGATGTTTGGCAGGCCGCACACATAGGGTGTTTAATTCATTTTCGTGGGCCGCCAAAAAATCACTGTCCAGCCGCACTTTGTTTACCTGTGTAATATGTTAATCTCTTTTGTTGAGTGAACACACAAAATGACAGGTTATCATATTTTGTATTATTTATTAATAACACGAAATCATAACTTGGAGCTTTCCTTGAATTTAATTGATTTGTTTACATGCTGCCAAAGTCAAAACTGGTGTAGATTAATAATTGTAGATGACAACAAACTACCACAAGCCCTACATTATTATGGATATTTCATTTGGGGTTTTTCCTCCCTTGAAAAAAATCTGTTTAAAATTAACCAAGTCATCCTTTTTTTAGGAACCAACAGCAGATGAAGAAGATTCAAAAGATGAAAATAATCAAACAGCTGACCAACAAGACCTGGAACAAGGGCCTAGTACTAGTGATGAACCAAATGGGAGAACCAGCCAAAATGAATGACCAGGACCAAGAAAAAGGACCACAAAATACGTATGCACGTAGGAGACTATACCAAGGGTAATGACCTATTTATTGGCTGGACAAAATAGTACAGAGAAGTAAGTTATTACACAATTGTCCATGATAGACCAAGCCTTTGGCCTAAGCAATTGTGATGGACATCAGTGGCCAAGGAGAATTATCAATGAATAAGTAGATAAGAAACCACAGTACAGTTACCTTGACAATGAATGTTGGATTTCCCACATTCAGCTTTAAGTATTGCGTGTTACTTTGAGAGTTCAAAGAAAGTCAAGTTACTTTGTAATGAACTCTTAAGTGTCATTAGGAAACGCAATAGTTCATATTCGATCAAATAAACCACTCCTTGTTAGATCCCCTTTAGAAATATTGATTTGAAGTGCTTACAACATGTTCACCCTCAAATAAGTAAAACAATAACCAGGATATGTATTAATAATGAATTTATACATAGTTTAATATTGAGTTTCTATGGCATTATATCAAGATGATAGAAATGTAATTTGTAAATCATTTAGACCTCTTCACAATTTGGACATGGGCCATGTGATACATTTGAAAGTTCAAACAGTCAGTTCTACTTATTCACACTCGTAGGTAATTAAATGTAAAATACACTACAATATTGAATTAGAAGATTGACTATTGTACCTGTTGCTTAACCTTTGTTCCTTGGGTATATTCCCTACATTATGCCCAATTCTACTTACCAGCCTTTCCTTGGGCAAAACCCAAGGGTTATGACTTTTACAAATAATCTCAGGAAAATATCTAATATTGGCTTAATTAGGCATACAGTGCAGAAAAATTGCCATTTGATTGCAAAAGGGATTCCTCAGGTATAAGCCCACCCCAAAAATTGACCCAATATTGTGTTCAAAGGGGTGAGGGTGGGCTTATACTAGAGGAACTATGGTAAATTAATTGGGAAAACCAAAGATTGTTAAGCCTACAGTATATACAATATGATTATTAATTTATACTAGGGCGGTATTATGAGTTACTGTATATGTTAGTGATACATTGGCAGCCTTGTCAGATATTAGGCAGTTATTCTGAGCATGACGTTAACCTTAACGGATGACGTCATAATTTATTCATCTTGCGTTGCGGAGTACGTTAATTTCAAGATTTTACGTGCTCGAGGTACGTTAGTCCCGGGTTTGCGCATGCGTATTTTGATTTGTTTACAAAAGGGGCGGAGCTTTCGCGCTGCATGTTGGGTACTAACGTTAAAGTTAAGGTTAACGTCGTGCAGCGAAAACTACCTAGTATCCAAGTGTCCTAACAAATAATCCAGGCTACTTCAAGTGTACTGTCTGTAATGAGCTAAAAATATAATAAAAAATTCAATTCCTTATATGTATATTTAAGTAAGTTATAAAATTACAATTAATAATTTTAATGATAAAAACTTTCCCCTGTCAGTTTTGTTTCCCTGTATTGAAGACCAAATAGTATGGAATTGCAAGAGATCCAACTGACCTCATTTTGAATGCACACCATGAAACGTTAAAAAAATACTACCACAAGATAAGGGTGCCCTATTATACTTTGAATACAGTTCACTCGAAACACGTCTTTTGAAGGACATCCCCTTTATAGTACCTTTTGAAATAAGATTATGTTTCAACGAAACCATGAGAGTCAGAACTCTCGCAGTTCTATAGTCTTTGATAAGACTCTTAAATTTGCTGGTAATCAGTTTAAGGATTTTTGAAGTAAACTCTGTGAATCAGCAAAAATACCTTTTTTCAATGTATCTGTTGGGAGGCTGATTAATTGATTCTTTTAAATGAGCTATTCAAATTTTAATTTGAAATGTAATGTAGTTGGATTTATATAGCACTTTATACCAGTCTCAAAGTGCTCGAGGTGTGGACTAGCTCATACATTAACTTTCTTCTCCCCTAAGAGTCTCTTCATGTCTGAGCTACCGGGTAAACCTGTACCAGCTACTCTTACCAGTCCACAACAGGGGCTGCATGGATCAGTACACTTGGGTAACCCCCTACTCGTCGCGGAAGGTGTACTGGGTTCTTTAAAGTGCACATAAACCAAATTATGTACACTGGGCCTACGGTTTATAATCCTCATCTGAGAAGACTTGTTCCACCACCAGAACCATACGCGAGTATGTGCCGTTGAACCATCGTTGTACATTGCGGCGCCCCTACCTTAACCACTCGGCCATCCAACTTGCAAATTTTATTTTTAAAGTTTTACCAGATTTTGTTGACAGACAGTACATCTTTAAAGATGATGAAATTACAGTATTATTATTTATTTGTTTTATACATGATTTGTACAACTTTGAGAATTTAGTGCAATCAAGTTTGAATACTGTAAATTAAGTTTACATATAAAATATAGTTTGTAAAAAAAATATTGTAATATATATTATGTGAGTTCTGATGATTGACAAGTAAATATTATTACCTTAATTTATCTGTGAGTGTCTGTAAATTAATGAGTAGATAAATGAATTAGAAAAATAAAATTATGGAAATAAGAATAGTAATAAGATGTGCGCCAGGGTTTCTGTGTGAAATTTCAAATAACAATATAATCACCATGACATTTTTTGAAAACAATTTTTTTCACATTGTCAAAACTCAGTTGTAATTTTTTGGCAGGATTGAACAATAAGGTGATTTCCTGTTAATTTATAGACTATTTTTACTCAGTATAAAAGCCTGATAACCTCTTTAGATAAAAGTAGAATATAATTTGTACTGTAGTTTCATGTTCACATCATGCCACGACTGGCTAAAATAAAAAAAAAATCATCTAGATAAAACCTGTCCACTATTCCGAAAGAATAGCATTGAGTCCTTCAAACTGCACACAATGCATACCGTAATACTACACCCCCAGTTTAATTCCTTATCCAAGAAAACTTGGTTCTACCATCCGAGCAGGATCTTAGACAGTACTGATATTAACACCGCGGTACACCAAACAGCAACTCTTCACTACATTACTTTAAGTGTTATATGTACACCACTAAAATGAGATTCACAGATTTTATTTTTCTTCAAAAGTAAAATTTTTATTTATTTCACATTCCATATTTTTGATACTGTATAATTTTAGTTTTATTTTTAGAATTACATAGCATTATATTTAAATCCATTATTATGAAAAATAAAAAAAAAATAAAAAATCATTTTCTTCCCCAATCACAATAAATCATATTTTCTTGGATTAATACGAAATAATTTGGTTGTTTAACATTATTAATGTTTTCATTTTTTTTTTTAAGAATGTATTAAAAACATTTATCTGTAGCTTTAAAGCTCAGCACTCACTGCATCGGACGGTCGTCAGCCAACATGATTCTATGAAGAACGCCATGATACGCGCGTAACAGATTGTTTTTAATGAATGTCCAGTCAGACTGCCACCAGGAATCAGCAGACGACGTTGCATTTTTTAGCACTCATAGAGGGCGGAGTTGGATTCATCAGTCGACGGTTGTACGACCGTCGTACGATGCAGGGAGTGACCGGCTTAAACAAACTCATTCATTTGATCTCTCCGTATTCTTAATATCCCTTCATTAATGAAACTTTCCGCATTTAAACTAATAATCAACGTTTAACCCAAATGATCAGGCCGTGTTAAAACCCTTTATATGAAAAAAATTACAGTTTAGCATGTAGTATATATTGTATAATAATATAATAATTGGTATTAACAAACTAAACAGTGTTTTACACTTTAGCATTAATGACAAATCTATATAAAATAAAACACGGTTTAAATAACAAACATAGAATACTGCTATAAATATTTACAACAGTGAAACTTCACAAATCATAGCAATTGCCTGGTAACCCTCTTGCTCTTTATCTTTTACAACTTTCACACAATACTTCCGTAAAGTTTCCACATGGAATACTTTCATACACAAATGCATACATGTTACTGTTTTCACATAGAATACATCACTTCTTCCATACGGAATACTTCAATATTCCACATGGAACATTTTTATACATAAGCATCCCCACCATTGTGTTTTTTTTTTTCACATGGAACACTGAACTTTCTTCCACATGGAGCATTTAAAACACTCTTACCTTCCACCAGAGATCTGATACATATTTACATACAAAAATTTTTTCCACTGCGGAAACCAATCTATACCAGGAGAACCACACTGAAATACGTTTTAGTGGTTTTGGTGTTGTTTTATTGTGATGAGTTCCTAATAAAATCAAACAATCAACTAGTATTATTTTCTTAGATAAGAGTCATACCAGTACTTTGTGGTTGTCTCTTAAAATGTTGTCTTGACAACATGTTCTTTTGTCCAAGTACACTGTCTCAAGTCAAGAATCATATCTACCCTTGTGTCGTCCCCATCCCCATCCCCAGTGAAGATGGCATCCATAGCTCACTCTCGTGTTAACAGGTTGATGGCAAAATGATAAAAAAAAAAAAAGGAATATTATATTTTCACAAACATGAATATATAATATGAAAACACTTATAAACATCTATTTTACAAACCCATTAACTATGAAAGGCATGCCACATGGAAACACCCTAAACTAGATATTTCAATTATAAGTTTGTAATTTTTTATTCCTAAAAGTAATAATTAAAAAAAAGTAATAATAAGTATTCAAAGTTAATTTTTTTCTCATTGTGAAATATATGAGAATAAGTTATTTGTTAAGGAAATCTCGATTTTAGATGTAATTAAACAATCAAAATATAATGGTTATAAGTAGGTCTTATTTGTTTTCTTTTTACAAAGAAAAAAATATGTTTCGTGGCCACTCCTTTCATAAAATAATACCATTAAAATACTTCCTTATATAAGTTTACTAAAGGTTATAGATTATTAACCTGATTAAAAAGTTGCTTTCAGTTTGAATCATTTAAAGTAGTTAGGACATAGAGTAAGGTACAGAGTATATATGCAAGATGCCTGAAAGGATAGTATAACCAATTTAAATGAACAGAGGCAGTGCTAACAATACTAGATCTACACTAGGTTAGTGCTGGAACCCATACTGTTTAGGGCTATCATAAACCAACCCACACTTTAGCATTACCAAATCTAGGTGGTAGTTATGGCTAGAGTATTACCAGATTTTGATGCTTGAGGGGCTAGCAATAGCAGGTCTAGACCTGGTATGGCCTGGCGAGACCACGGCAGAAGTAACCAGATCTAAAAGCTTTAATGAGCTAGCATAATTTGACCAAAGGCCTTGGGTCTGCTTTTTATTTATTACACTCAAAAAAAAAGGATCATTTTTACTATAAGAGAAGGGTCAAACAAGAAGCAGCCATTATCAATGCCCAGACAACTGGTAATCGGTGACCACTTCCTCTTATTGTATCCACTTCTGGTCTTCCTGTAATCGCAGGTTTCGTTGGTATAAACTTGTTTGTACTTGGTTGCTGTGTGGTGTCTGGTTTGTTTTCCTTTGTAACTAGTTTTGTTGTTACGTCAATTGTTGACCTGTTCACTGTTGGAGTTGTCTGCCTCGTGGTGGATTTGGCACGTTTTGTGGTCAGGTGCTCAACTGTTGTCTTGGAAACCTCTTCCGTGATATCTTGTGAGTTAGTATTTTCGAAAGAGAAATCAGAATCAGTTGTGAAATCTGCAAAAAAAAAAAATTGTTCATAAAATTTAATTTTGTTACAAGGCACAAATAAAGATACAATACAATGTTATAGAGATAAAGATATGTCGGTTAAAAAAGCTAGGGGGGGGGGGGTGTTTGTGGCTTATGGCAGCTGTGAAAGCACTCAACCATATTGACCATGTGCTCAGTAAACAAGGGCTGTCACATGGTTTGACCATGGTGTCAGTGATGCAGCACTCTGTACACAGAACAATTTTAATTCAAGACTTCTTATTCAACCTACGATGGGATACAACAAACATAAGTATTCCTGTTTTCCATATAATTGCTAAAGTCTCCCTACAGCAATTGATACGCTTTCATAGATTACCTGACTTGCCTGTGATGAATCATAGAAGTTGGAGGGGGGAAAACAAGAGAAACATGGCTGCGGTCAGACATTGCTCAAATGTTTCTAAAGTGGTCCAGGGGCGAAGCCCTAAAAAATATGACTATTCAAGGAGTTTCTAGGGATTATATAATCTATTCTATAGATGGAGTCTACTAATATGTAGAAAATGCATAACAAATTTTTCTCCCTGACGAATTGTGGTTTTTCTCAGAGGACCCTGTCTCTCCCCACTGGTGCCACCCCTGGTTAATAGGTCGTAGCAATTTTATGAAAGCAAGCTTATACGGACCAATCATCATAGCAAATATACAGAACTACAAGTGTATTGTTTTGCAGAGACTATCTGCCCCCATATACTACATCTTTTTACTCAAGTATTATTAGATACGGTATCCATTCAAATAGTGAAATTGTTTTATTTAATGTTAATTGTTATATTATCCTGAATGATTTAGATCTAAACTGCAATGTATGAGCTTACTTGCATGGACATTAAACTACAACAGTTAATCACTGTAAAGAATTGTTTCCTTAAAACATCAGTGATTGATGACTGAAATCCTTAAGAATGACTATTAGAATCAAATTATTTAATATAATTATTCACAGTATTTTTATTCAAGAAATATATATCAAACAATTATTCTATTGCTATAAAAACAAAGGCAAAGTTAAAAAATATATTATTTTATTAAGAACAAATGCTGGTAAAGGTAACCTTGGAGAGAATTACCAAAACATGTAGGTACAAGTTTCATTTAAATATATTATATTTAAATGAAACTTGTACCTACAAGTTTCATTTAAATATATTATATTACTGTATGTACTGAACATCTACAAGTGCATTTAAAATGTCAATAAAAAAAACCATTTGGATCAAATGAATATGCTATTGCAGCATCTCATATATTTAAGGTCCCATAAAGAATAATGCCCTAACTCTCTCAGGCATGTGATGTGGGAGGTCTGTTTAAATTTTTTTTATATCTTGTACAAATACACAGTACTTGAGCCAAAAGTTGTGTATTAGAGCTAAAACCTAAAGTTTCTAGTGACAAGAGCGGGGCAAAGCTAATGTTATCAATATTAAATCAAATAATGTATTCCAACATTTTTCTCAATCTAGACTGCACGCAAATGCCAGCTGGAGTGATGAATGTTGACCTAATGTGTGTACTATTTTTACTTTACTTTATTGTGAGTTGTTTTCAAGCACTAGGTTTTGTTTCAATTGATGTAGCCTAAACCAATGACTGCCAAGAATCTGTTTTTGTTATTAAAATTTACTTGAAAATCAATTTTCATAAAAGATATATAAACTGCAGATATAATGTCCGTCTATCTATGTTGTTTCATTGACATGGAAACCATGTGGAGATTTTTCAATTGATCAGATGGCAGATGCCTGAAAAACTCCCTCATTTATTTGACATGAATTTTTTACAGACCACAATGTGTTGTTTTTCCTCTTGGATGTTTAAAACCTGTCAGTCACATTATAGAATGGGGAAATATATGAAATATTAATACTAAACAGCACTGTGTCTAATTAAAGAAAAAAAAATATTGGCATCTACTAGAGAGTATTTTTTCTGCCCTAGCTATTGAGGGCCCAATCAGCCATGCTGATTATCCTTGTTAAATATAACATCCCATTGTAAATGGCTTTTAGTGATGTTGAATATTATAGTGTCAAAGTTTGTATTATGCATTTTGCACAAATGTTTAGATGTGCTTTTCAAATGAGTGGAGTCTGGCCAAGTATGTGATTACCATATTATGTTCTGTATTTATGATCAATTCATGGTTATTCGCACCAAATGACCCCACTGTAGTGTAAATGTTAAGAACTAGGCAAGTCTTGTGAGGTTGGCGCACTTTAACATTGTTGACATTTCAACTGCTGCCTTGTCCTGTCAAGGCTGTATGTGGTGGCATATGCTAGTGTCCATCTATCTTGACATATTTTAAAGAGTCAATTTATGCATCCTACATTAGTAGTATCTTATTAAGTCATTCATGTTCCTGTGATTCAAAGCTAAGGTGGATAATATTGGGGGGTGGGAGAAAACAGGGATCCATACTGTGTATAAGAGACAGCTTGTATGATGGGGGGAGGGGGAAGGGATTCTACCTTTACTCCCATCCATGCAACTACCGAAGGAGTGTCTTCCCCCTGTTGAAGGCAAAATAAAATAAAATGAAAAAAATGTGGAAATGTGACGTACCTTTTGGTGGCACGTTTGTCGATACTATAGCATTCTTGGTGTCTTTGATTGTTACTTTGACATAGTTACCACCAGTATCACCAGTCGGTGTCGCTGATGTTGTAAACTCGCCACTACCACTGCCCCTTTCGCATTCCTCGTCGCCATCACATCCACTCCCGCTACCACTTATCTCATTGTCGTAGGTTTCTGCTAATGATACCAAGATCACCTAAAGAGGAAGAAAAAAATATTGTTAGTATTTAATTTTGCTTAAGCTGCCCCTGACCATAATTTTTGTTGTACTGTACCTTTTTGTAAATGTGTATTGGTCGAATAAATAAATTAAATGAATGAATGAAATGAATTATTGCAAAGCATATTACAACATTAAGTAGATACAGAAATATAAGGGGAATTTTCCACCCTTTTAACTATGAGACCTTTCTAATAACAGCCCAAAAAAATTAAGCTATGTTATGTATAAACCTTAAAAAATCTGTGTCTTGTTTTTAAGCCTATTACAGAAATAAGTTATTGGATATAAATAAGGTAAAACAACATGGATTTAATAAATACAAATGTATTAAAATAAAAAATAAATAAAAGTAAATTAATTTTGCTTTTTCTGTTGTTAATATTTTTCAATATGTTTTTAAACTATTTTCTGGTATTTTAGTTCTTTCCAAATGATTGCCCCAAGCCATTAAATATAATCTTAGCCACACAAGGAAAATATTTTGTGTTATGGCTCTTGCTGTGTCAACTGGAACAATGGTATAGATACTGCAGTGTTATATGAATATTCCGTAGTTAACCCCTTTTTCTTGCATTCTCCCTGCCCTGCTTTAATCAACTTTTACAACCACCATTCAAGAACAATATAAAGTTTTACTACAATGCTTTATAAACAATTTTTTGGACTACTCCAGTTTTACAGAACAAAAATAGTTAAGATTAGTTGCCAATATGAAGATAAAGAAAGCAGAGAGTATTAATGCAGAATTAGTACTGCTATTATTGAAATAACTAATTACATTAATACTATAAGAAAATAGAAAATCTTATAAATGTATGTTGTAGTAGATCTGTCCTTGCAAAATTTCAAAATTGAATAAATTGTGTTTTCTGAATCAATTACAGACAGATTGAGTAAATTAGGCCTACTGGAATAAAATGTCAAACTTTAAGATTTTATATTTCACAGAAATCACAAATTTAAAATAAAAAATAATAAAAAGTTAAAGTTAAAGTTAATAATAAAAACTGTCTTGGAAATGTGGACCGTATCAAATTTGGTTGGGCGCGCTATACACACTCTTCGTAACACCCCACCTACTGGATATACGGGCCTGGAAACTTTACATTTTACTTGCAAATTATTATTTTTCTTAATACAATTTAGTGGGGTGCGGCCGCACCCTCTGCACCCCCTCTGCATCCGCCCCAGCAGTATATTATGTCACATAGTGTGTATTATTACATACTAATAAAATATATTAATTCTATTATATATTTTGTTACAGCAGCTAAAAAGTTTTATTTTTGTGAATAGAGGGTCTGACAAGGGACAAAACCAATCAGAATGCTAGCAACAGGTAGTACTTGTAGTCTGCCATATTTTTAATATGAAATCCAAATCTGGGAAAATATTATTTCATTGTTTAGTTGCTGGAGGCAAAGGAATATTTCATATCTTAAGATTCCAGCTGTGTCTAAGGAATTCCAACTGACGATACAGACTCCAATGTGATTCATGACTTAGGTATGCGAGATGATGGTAGCAAAGTGTTAACTAAATAAACTTGAGGAAGGAAAGCGTTGGTACAAACTAATAAAAGAAGCTGGTACCTTAGATTCAAGGATCTTATTATATTTGGACATATGACCTGGATCGCACAACACTGTAAACATAAAACATTAAATCCATTTTTGGTTGTTCCGTAATGTCAGACAATTATGCTCAATAAAAATTAACTATCAACTTTGGTCAGAGTGGAAGTAACCTAGGAAAAACCAGCCAAGTCATTATATTAAAGCCGCATTGAGAATGCAGGAAGAAAGGCTTCAAACCCTGATCCAGCTTCAGAAGAAGGTTCCCAAGTCTTCCCCTGAATCAGGGCAGCCTCACCCACTTTTGCAAGCAAGCCTTCTCCCAGGCTACAAATTCATGATAATTTCCATGTTTTTATACTGTTTTAACATTATTTTTCCATGGTTTATTAATGTCTGAACTGGTAATGGGTATCACCACTACCTAGCATTAGTCTTTACCGTATATCATTTCTTTTTATTAAATGTAATTTATTATTTAAATATGTTTCACAGCTCATTACTTCATCTACAGTTGTTTAGATGAAACAAATTGTACTCAAAGATCTGACATTAAAAGCACATTTGCTGTTTTTTTTTTCCTTTAATTAACACACTTCCTTAATCCAATGGAGCGAAAGTCCTTATGGATTCAGATGGCCTTCCCGATTAAAAGTATAGGCGTCTACATAATGTCATCCCATTGTAAAGTAAATTGATTGTTAGATTGTTTAAGCAAATTGATTGTTAGATTGTTTAAGCAGTTTATTCAATACCCAAAAAAATAAACAAATATTGCAAATTTCTGATATATCCTTGTGTGAACATCAAACAGAAGCGAAGATATGGAGACTTCCGCCTGTCAATGGATTTGTAAGCCATATTACAGGCCATTGTTATTTTAGGGCCAATGTATCAAGGATCCCAAATTATTTACTCTAGACTAGATTATAGAGCATTGAGAGCCTTCATGATCAATTCTCCACTCCTCTGCCCCCCTCCCCAGTCACCCCATCTGGCAAAAAAATCACGCTAAAGTAGTTAAAAAAATCACCTCAAATCGCCTTATTTTGCGAGCTAGCATCCCATAATCATCGAGTCCCCTCCTCATCTAAACATCAAGCCCCAAGTATACCACTGTCACTGTGTACACCAACCAATGTAAGTATGTAGACTCTAATGGGGTCCTTCTGGTGTTGGTTGGGCAGCACAGCAGGAGACAAATCCCCTACTCTTTTTAGAAGAGCGAACTGCATTCTTTAACATCCAATTGCCATATTACACACAGGATCAATGGCACTTTTTTTTATACTTGTCTGGCACTTCAGCCCTTTAACTGAAACATAAGGAGGGATGCAAATGGAATTGAACCAGGAACCAAAATTTAACGGATCTTCACAGTTCAGTGCACACAGATTAGCTACCACCAGTTTAGCTGACTGAGTAAAAGCATGAAATAGTCTTTTTAGTGGTCATTAGGAACTGCTTTTCATGGAATGTATAATTAGTGGGTAAGACCCTCACAGTTTGAACCAGACCAATGCAATGAATTCGAAGAAAATACTCAATATAATTTGGAAAATTATTGTTATTGTTGTGTCAGGATATATGTTATTTTTTTAGTTTAAACAATAATTTTGATAATAAAAATTTTAAAATAATAAATGGTCATTAACAAAAAAGCTGAAAGTCATCAAGGACTATCACAAATTTACTAGATACATGTGATTAATGCTGGTGTTAAGTTTCAATTGATTGATTGATTGTGTGATTGATCATTCATCCTATCATATTCATGCTCATCATTTTCTTATTATCTTCATCAACTTTTTCCTCATCTTCCTCCTCATCATCAACATCATTTTTATCATCATCTTTGAATATAATCTTCTTCCTTATCTTCCTTACAGTCATCATCATCACTACTACTATCACTATCGTCATCATAATCATCATCATTACTATGACTATTGTCATTATAATCATCTTAATTGTCATCCTTGCCATCATTAAAACATTACCACCACCATAATCATAACATCATCATCATCTTCATAATGACATTGTAATCATGGTATCATCATTATAATCATGCTATAACCATGCTATAATCTATATTTTCGTCTTTTAAATTTTTCCATCATGAATATTCTTTGGCAAATCTTTTAAAGTGAATATTGAGGAATACAGTGCTTTTTTTTAAGAAAAAAAAAACCCAAAAAATTCTGAGAAAACAATGACCACTGAAGCCAGTTACCAGATGTTATGGCTTCTTTTTTAATTTGTTCTTGTTTTTGTGAGGAATTGCTGTTGTGGTTTCAAAATTCTAATCCTGATTTTTTATGACCTAGATTTAATCAATAAAAGCATTATGTCGGCTTTACCTTCTGAATATTATGTATGAATATTGTAGAGGACTGGTGTTAAACACACCTTGCAAACCAATTAACTATCATATTAACAGCCTTCAAGGTTTTTCAACAAGAGTTGAATAGCATGGTACAGTAGTTACGATGCTTGCCTTTCTGGGTTCAATTCCTGTTACAGCAGAATTTTTCTCATAACCAAAACAACTCCACACTCATTAAGTCTCATTATAAAAACTTAGTTATTAAAAAAATTACTGGGCCCTGTGGGTGAACAGTAGATATCTACTGACTAGGATACCTAGTATAAAGATGAAAAATTTAATTTATATGGTATTATTTTGTGAATTAGCAAATACCGTATGTATTTAAATAAACAGCCCTGGGGCGAAGAAGAAAAAATAAACGCCCTGGGGAGTGAATTCAAGGGAAGTGTTTATTCCAAACGAGGCTCTAGGGGGGGTGTTTATTCGAGGGGGAATTTATTCAAAGTGAGGCGTACATCTTGATTTGCAATATCTACTCATAGAATTACAAATATTGTACTGTCATGGAAATACTTGAAGGCCTTTATATGATAGTTAATTGGTTTGCAAGGTGTGTTTTAACACCAGTACTGTATAGCACCTTCCTGTTTATATATTTAGTATTGTTCATATATTTGGCAACTATAATTATAATGGATGTGCACTCAAAGGCACTGGTTTTTCTTTTTGAAGTTCAGATTAAATTGCAAATCTACATAAAATAACAATTAGTAAATATAACAAAAAAATAAAACATGTAATTTTAGGTATAGTAGAATGATTTATATCAAAAGTTTGTTTACATGGTTAATCCTTTTGTTTCACAATTGTGGCTATGTGATCACCATGAATAGATTAAGTTAAAGGATATTTTTTTTTTGTTACAATAGTTTATTAAAGTGAAAATGTAATTGTGGGAAAGGAATGAGTACTTAAAATTGTCACCTAAACCATGGAAGTACACTATACCTAAACATAAAGTAGGCTTTTCTCACATGGTTGTTTCATCACAAGATATGGATACAATC